TATAACGTTTACAAAGTTGCGAATATGCAAATTTAGTCTGTGACGTCGAAAACTATGCGTTTTAGATAAGGAGTAAGGAGCCACTTGCAGTATTCCTTTTGTAAAAGGAGATTAAAAACAATTGACAAGCGTTGAATGCTTCGTAGCAGTGAATATACGATGTCTCAGCAAGATGACTTAGTTGAATCGGTAGCCAGGAAGGCCATCAGTCGTTTACAGGAGAGTCAAACGCAATCCATTGTAGCGGAAGCGTTAGGATTTTCCCAAAATGTCATTTCCAGATTATGGAATCGGATTTTGAAAATTAAATATGTTTGAGAAATTCCGGACAAGGTCGTGTTATCGTTTTAAAATAAAAAGCGGGAGATATACATGCATTTCGTTTAAAGAAATAAAAATATATCTCTTGTTTGGAGAAATAAAGTGGTCAGAAAGAATGTTTTGGTTGATGTACTGCAAACATTTTATTACACGTTTTATCAGAAAACTCAAAATAAATAATTAATTATATTACAATAGTTATTAATTTTAAATATAATATATTTTCCAGAAATCGATCAAAATAAAAACTGAAATTTTCAGGAAAATCTTGTTTGGAGACCATTTGCCCCTCTACGAGCGGCGCCCGGGGCATCATGCACCCCCTTGCCCCCTCCTCGCTACGCCACTGCGCCTTAGATTCGAAGAAATAAGGTGAATAACATAAAAACTTTTCTTTCTTTATTTTTTTTAATCTTCCATCTTTCTAGTTAACAGAATAGTATTTAGATAAATCAATGTGTGATGCCACTGGCGAGGACATATATTGAGATGAAAACATTTTACGTAAGAATGTACTTAATTGTTTGATTATTCGGAGCGCTTTTATTAGCAGAATAATATGCCTTACGTAACAACCGAAAGCAAATTTATTACAGTTCTTCATCCATGATATTCACATATCATCGTTCATCAACAGAGGATTCGAAATGAGAAATTACCGCTATTGACATGATGATTAAATTTTGCTCCATTGCCCCAAAACTACATTGTAACTTTGATAATTAAATATGTTCTTTTTTACCTGAATATATTCTTGTTATTTTCATCATATTTAAGAGAAAATTGTGTTCTTCCAAATCTAAGTAATCTAAACAGTTAACTCTTCGACATTTGCAATCGAAGTGATATAAGCAGTGCCAGTTTTAAAAATCCTCAACGCATTTGTTTTCTATATTGTCCAACAGATGGCGCCACGTGTATTGTGTTTTTATTTCTTTCAATTAAATATTATATTTAAGTGATAAAACTTAGTATTATGGAGCGCACTATTTTGCTTCTTAAAGAAAAGAACCTTGTCACAGGTTTCAGTACAATGAGAGGATAATTCCGTAAGACCTCAATTAAATTTTCCCTGATTTTAGAAAAATTATTTTCCTTTTGCATTTGTTATGCTAGGAATATAATACTTTATTATTCAATTGTGTCATAATTAATGTTAAGAACAACAGTTTTTTACGTAAATATGGTACGTTCAGGCCCATTAAGCTGAGGATGAACGCATTTAAGTACACTGACTACACATACAATGTGCAGTCAACATTGACTATTTCCAAAGAGCTCGTTTTAGAATTCTGCCGAGAACTGATTAGCTATTTTCTCTTTGAAGGACAGAGTCATTAGGAATTTTGAAGCAGAAGACGTCAAAAATGTGCAGTAAGCTAATTCATTTTCTGAGACCCTTTGTTAGTTTGTTTAATTGACTGTGGAAAAACCGAAAAGGATTATTTATCTATAAGAAACTGCTTCTTATTTGTATTACACATGGGAAAACTATGAAAGCGTTCATGCAGTCGGCCTATTCGCCAGCCTGCAGGGTTGATATATATCTTGGGATGATATATTGAATTGGTTGATATATATCTTGAGTTGATATATATCTTGGGTTGATATATTGAATTGGTTGATATATATATTTTGGGTTGATATATTGAATTGGTTGATATATATCTTGAGTTGATATATTGAATTGGTTGATAGATTCTATTGATAATGATATAAGGTTGGATATTCCATATATTATATTCCATATATTACATGGAACATCCATATATTATATGGATATAAGGATTTTCCATATCCTACGTTTAAAGGGTAACTGGGGCGTACGCCACTTGGGAAATTTTTGAAGTAGAAGATGTGAAAAATGTGCTATGCCCTGGCCGGGACTCGAATCCTGGACCTCTCAATGACGCGTCGACTATATTTTTTTATATTACTACATTACCACGAAGGTATGCGGGAAGGAAGGAGAAAATACCATCTAGATATATTCTGTATATCAACCAACCTGATATATTCTGATTATTGATATATCCTATCGCATCTATAAACAATGCATTGAATCTATATAATGCAATGATCTGTACAACATCTATATCTATATATGTAATGCATACAGTCATTTTGTTAAATATCAACTTAAAAGTTATACTCATAGCCTGACACCTAAAAGCGCAACATGTCATAAAAAATGTAGCAAAATGATTATATAAACCAGTAAATTTCATACTAAGGCTCAGTAAAGATATGCACCATCGGGATGGTTGGTCTACGTAATGATCTTACATCGAATGTCACCTCGATCGAACAGCCTGTTCGCAAGGATACGAACGGGGGTTAAGAACATTTAAGACAGCGAAGGATTAAGCTGCGATACTTGGAAATCAGATTATTACATTATCAAACAATTAAGGCAATGGGAAATCGACAAGCACTTATAGCAAATCCTAATCTTCTGTTACGTCGGTTGTCCTAAACAGATTAATTATTTGCAATGTCCGGTAAGGATCGTAATCTTTTACAAATCTTCTACAATCTTTAAAATGTAAAGAACTAAAATTACAACAGAGAAATGTTATTTTTCCCATATCCGACGTTTAAAGGATAACTGGGGAGTACGCCACTTAGGAAATTTTTGAAGTAGAAGATGTGAAAAATGTGCAGTGCCCTTGCCGGAACTCGAATCCTGGACCTCTCAATGACGCGTCGAATATACTTTACATTACTACATTACCACGAAGGTATGCAGGAAGGAAGGAGAAAATACCATCTAGAAGTATCCGGAAGAGTTTTTTTTTTTTTTTTTTTTTTTTTTTTTTTTTTTAATGGTGGACACACTTGCCTATAACGGCATTGGCCACTCCTAAGGTTGAAGCTGTGGCCATTTTATTGCGGAGGCACCTAATAGGCGGCCACTGTTACCTCCTATGAAGGGACAGACAATTTTACATCCATGTCTTCTCCAGGATTCGAACCCGGGTCCTTCGGTATCTCAGTCAGGCTCCCCCTAACCACACTCACTCATTTGGGTGCCAGCTTCATACGGGAATAGAAAGAGAATGAGAAAGCAGATGTTGTCGCAAAGGAAGCAGCGGATTCATCCACTTTGCGAGAAGTCTCGACCCTTAAGCCAGTCTCGGACCTAAAGAGTTGAACATTCCACCAGCTCCTAAGAATATGGCAAGAACGTTGGGATCAAGCCTCCACAGGAAGACGTGTTTACAATCTCATTCCCAAGGTCAAGACAACAATCCAAACTAATAGCAATTACATGACGTATTCCTTCACTGTTCATAGGCCCTTCCCTTCGTACCTCTGCCGCTTTGGCTTGAGAGAGAATGGTAACTGTGAATGTGGGGAGGAGGGTCATCCAGACCATTTTGTGTTTTCCTGCCCACACACAACACTTAACAGCCTCAAGCAGCCAGGAGCCAGATTCGGGCCAAATTGGTTCCGGAATCTACAAAGTAACAGAGTTGCCCAGCGGAAACTGAAACAATAATTGAGTACTGTACTAGCAATTACTCTTCTGACGCTGGAAGACAGTAGTTATAAAAGTCTATATAAGCTAACAGAGTATAAGTCACCAACAGAGTATGTGATATGTATGTTCAATATATGATTTTGTATTTAATTTATGCTGTGCCAGATTCGCACACATAAAATTCGTACCGTATCTGAATGCTGTAATGTATCTGTACATGTTTATATCTTTTATTTATGGTACCTAATTTATACTAAGGATCACGCGTTAAACTTTAACTATCATGATAACGTATTTGTATGGATGTATACATCAATATAAGTGAGAGTACGTATACTTTTATTTGTTTCGTAATATTTATGTATGTGTGTATATATCTGTATATGAGTTTATACCAGTAACTTTCGCTATAGAGGTTAGCGATGGTAACCAAGGGCCCAGTTTCGAATGCATGTATGCTTTTTAGTGTATAGTGACTGCGCAACACGGGGACACTTAGAATAGTGACGAGCCGAAAGTCCTCTCTGTTGGTTTTCGGTAAAGGAATAGGGGACCAAAATCGAAAGACCCTCAGATACATTTCGTGAGATGTTTTGTATTATAATTGGGGAAGAGATACGGTTTTAGTGCTGCAAAGTTACACTTGTGGGAATAATAGCTAAATTCTGGTGTTCCGCCACTTCCGCCTGTGGCAGTATTCTGTGTTTATTGTTGTTTTAACCTCTGAATCATTGATCACCTTATATGTTTTCATTTTTAAAGCTTTTTTTTTTCTTTAAGAAAAAATTGATATATTAGAAATAGTATATTTTGACTTGGTTCGAAATGTTGTTGGACAGACATAGCTTCACGTTAATAACTGCATATTCTAAAAAGAAACTTTTTTAGAATAAGCAGAAAAAAAAAAGAAAAATGTGTAAAAGGTTGAAAAATATTGCCTTAGTGCTATAAGGTACTTTCTTTCTCCTTTTGCATGCCCTTGTTGCGTTACGGTAGCACAATCGGCGCTTTTTCGAGAGGTCCAGGTTTGAGTCTCGACTAGGACATTGCTCATTTTCATGTCTGCTGCTTTAAAATAACATAATGTCTCAACAGTAACGTAACGTAACTTTTTAACGTAAGATTGTAGATTAAGGAGCAAGTGAATTATGCTCTGATTTAAAAATATAAGTAAACAAAAAGAAATAGACTTTTATAAGAACAATAATAATTTTTAATTAAAATAACTTTCATCTGTGAGCATTTTAGTTATAAAATTTCATCAACTCAATTACATTTTTTAAGACATCGATTAAGAATTTCATCCATAATGTAACATTTAAAAGTTTATAAATAGCCAATTATACATGTATTAGCTCGCTACTGTGTATTTCAATCCACGAAAATATGCTGCATCATATGTACAGAACGAGGAACATCAAAATATCAAACTTAAGCTCTACAAAATACATTCTTGTAGAAGCTTTTTAGTGTACAGTGCAAATTCGGATATGAAATACACCCCAGCGTCATAAATTTAAAACATCATGTTTCAGAATTCAGTAATAAAAATACAAATATTACTATACAAAATATTATATGAAAATATTTTATTTATTCATTTAAAAAAATCCATTGCTTTGGATTAAAAAAGTAGCATTTCGCGAGCTGCATGACCTCAAAATATCACAAATACTTGGGAAGCGTTTGTTCCGAGGCACGTGATCTGCTGATGAGAAAATAAATACATGAAATAAAGGATGAGAGCAATAAATACGCGGATGAATGATGATTGTCCTTATGAGCAACGGATGCATCCCTTCAAGGCACACCGGGATGTTTTTCAGACAAAGGATAAACGCTTTGTCATCCCTGAAGTCCATAATAAATAAAGCTTCGGCAAATAGCTTCCGCTTGTAATTACCTGGCAGTTTTTGGGGCCAGGCGTACTTTCTATAGCCGGGTAAATAGTTCAGTCTTCTACAAGCTTTAAGGTCACCGGTCTATCAGTTTACAGGCCAGGTGATGCATGTGAATGGCATTGCATGCCATTGCAAGCATGTTGACAATCGCACAAGCTCCATGGAACCTCCTGAATCGAGTATGTAAATTGCTGTATTTAGGGCACGCTCGTAGTTTATCGCAGGGTTTAAATCGTCCAACAACGTCTTGGCCGACACCTGCTTCCTCCTCCATCTTTCCTCTCTCCATCATGGTTTGGATCATGTCTGGAACTATGTATACCATGCCCGACAGGTCACACAGGAAGCATACTGCCAAAGCCCATCTCTATAAAAGAAAATTTAGATATAGTATACAAGAAATGAAATAGCGTGCATATACTGAAACGATAACGTTTAAGAAAATTGTATGAAACATTTCACTAACATATGCTAACCTTATAGGGTGTTTGAAAAGCTCTAGGCAATAATTCAACACTTTCAGCTAGAGACAAATCTTGACATGTTTTTGCAGCTATTTCGCGCAATCTTATTTAGTCCGATTCAGGTATTTAACTGAACCGTCCAGACGGGAAAGTGGTTAGTGACTCTGACTGCCCTAGCGACGATCCCGGATCCGAAACTCTGATAAAGAATGGATGTTAATTTCACCGTCCCTTTGGTTGCCCGCCTATTAGGTTCTTCCATAATGAACAGACTACCGCTTTCGGCCTTAGTAGTGGCCAACACCTATAAGCGGCTACAGCCCGGCATAGGGGGGGGTTGTCTGACTGATACAGCAGCATTTTGGTGGCACCGATTTTGCAACCATGGAACATGTGAAGAATAATCATATTCTTTTTTGTGGATATAGAGTGTGAAAACTTCAGAAACTGTGCATTGTCTCCGAGGAGAAATTTGTCCCCACATTTGAAGAAATCTTTACGGGGTCTTCAGTTTGAAAGTTTATTTATGCTTTAAATACCGCCCAGACGTTAATAGTAATAGGGGAACCGTAAAGTAATGTCGCTTTCTAACGTTAAATTCAAACGAATACATTTTTAACAATTTTTATTTTTAATCAATAATATAATCACCCTCGTTATCAACAACCTTTTGCCATCTAATGTACAGATTTTCAATCCCGGACCGATCAAAATCAATCGGTTTTTGAGTAAAATATCTCGAGAGGACATTTTGGACATCATCCAAATTTTCAAATTTTTTGCCGCTAAGAAAATGTTGTAGGGATCCGAATAAATGGAAATCCAATGCTGCGATATCGGCCGAGTATGGTGGGTGAGTATGGCAGTATCTCCCACCCCAATCCATTCATTTTTTCCAGTGTTCGTCTTGCACAGTGCGGTCTTGCATTGTCGTGTTGCAGAATGACGCCTTTTCTGTTGACAATTGATACTTTTCGATTAAAGATTGGTTCACTCCATCCAATTGTTCACAATAAAGGTCTGCATTAGCAGTTTGTCCAGGTTTCAGCCATTCAAAATGAACAATTCTGCGAATACTCCATCCAACACCGAGAAGCGCCTTTTCGGCATGTAAACCCTTTGTAACCCCTATTAAAACTGCCTTTTGAGTTTTGGATTATCATATAGGACTTTTTTTTTTTTTTGTCTCCACTAATCAAACAATCAAAAGACGGTTCTGTAGGGTGCCGTTGAAGAAATACGTTGCATGTGATGGACAGGTTGGCTTTGTTCTTTTCGGACAGATTATGGGGGACTCAAACACCTGCTTTGCTTATTTTTCCATTCGGCTTTAAATGTTCTTGGATGGTCGACCAAGGTTGGTTAAGAGTGTTTGACATGGATTTTCTTCCACTTCTGCTCTTAGCATGGTGTTGTCGACATGCGCAAAAACGACATTACTTTCCGGTCCCCCTATTAGTTAGGGAAGCCTACTGCTATATCGAAAGGCCCGGTTGTTCATCATATTGGAGAAGGCATGCCTGTAACTGTCTGTCCGTTCCTTCATATGGTTATGGTGGCCCATCTATTAGATGCTTACACAATAAAATGGCCACCACTTCCGGCCTTTGCTGCGGCGAAGCCTAAGTCAGCTAAGTGCCCGATAAAAATAGGTGAATTGAGGAGACATTGAAAAAATTCTTTGAGGACGGTTTGCAAATTTAGTTTTTCATTGGGGTAAATGTCTTCAGTTAAATGGTGATTATGTTGAAAACCTGCATTGTAATATCCAAACGTTCACAAAATAAAAACGTTATACCTTAATACCAGAACTTTGAAAACATCCCTCGTACTAATTACAAAATATGTATAGGATAATTTTTAAAAGAAGATTAGCGTAATCGTAAATTGTTAATCCTTATGCACATGAAATTATGATATAACTTATTTAAAAAATTACATTCCTGTAACAATTCCTATAATCTTTAAGTTAATGAATATATATATTTTTGAGGGGGGGAGAGGCTTGTTTGAAATTTTGTGACAAAAATCTTGGATGCCACAGATTATTACTATTTTTACAACTCAATGAAAGCTTATTACTTTTTTAATTCAGTGAGATATTTCTACATATTTTATAACTTAACCACGATTTTTATCTTTTATTTTTTACTGCCTTTAATATTCCTAAAGGCCGATGACTTTCTTTGGACATGCGAATAGAATTTTTTCTTACATTAAGAAGAATAATTAAAATTGTATATGGAACCTGAAATTTTAAAATTATTAAAGGTATCCAGGTAATTTAAATCTTTCTATATCTGGCCTGCAATTACTTCATCAGTTACCTACAGTTTACCTAATTTCTAACTATTAAATAAAGTTAATGTAAAGGTAATAAAAGTATTTCATTTACCTGTAAAACGGATTCTGGATTCTGGAAGATAAAAATCCACAGAGTGAGGAATCCAAGAACAGAATTCAATAGGAAGTATTTGGGGAAAAGATGCCTTTGTACGAGACCAAATATTTTGCGTGGAAGTTTGAAGAATAAAACTATACCTGTAAAAGAGGACAACATTATTACATATTAGATGTATATTATATATTATTATATATTAGATATATATTAGACTAGTATATTAGATGCTTTAAAATCTGAGATATAAATTGCAGAAAATACAGTGCAAAATTTCGCAGAAGGAAGATTTCGTCCTTCTTTACAAATCAAATATGAAAATAAATATTATATTTCTTAAAGCATATTATTTTTTTTTATTTTTTATTTTTATTCTCTCTCTCTCTCTCTCTCTCTCTCTCTTTTTTTTTTTTTTTTTTTTTTTTTTTTTTTTTTTAAGGACTTGTGTTTGATTCCATTCGAAATTTAAGAAAAACTAGGGTTAAAAATCTTTGCTTGTAATGTAAATGTAAAATGTACAATGTAAAAACGAGCAATTTGATTTCACTGAAAATCATTCTTATTTATTGATTTTATGGCACATTAAATTCTCTAATGGAATTAGCTACGAAAATGGCATTGTAAATTTGATATTCTCTCCCTGTTAACCCGTTTTCTCACTCTTGAAGCCTTTCATTTCTCAAAAAATTCAAACAGCATTATTATCTTCTATAGCCACCATACACTGCATAATAAGAGTTTTCTTAAAACATTTTATAGGTAATAAAAGTATAAAAACTTAATAAACGTATTACTGTTTACTTTATAGAAAAATTTTATGCACATTAAATATTATCCTACACATTATTTTATTAATTAAACTATAATCTGCACTGAATTAATTAAACTCTAACTAAATGCAAAATTTGTTTTAAAGTTTTGTGATGGGTTAATAACTTGAAATTTTCTTAGAATTAGAATTTATTTTTAGCTCAAAGAGGCAATTTGCCCAGAAGGGTTATTTATTTTGTTTTGACATTTTGCCTTGGTTTACCTTAAACAGCATTTCAATTTTCAAATTGTTGCCACCAGATGTTAGAGCCCTGCATTATATTTAAATAAATTAAATAGTGAAGAATCTGCATGAATGCATGTATGTTTCTCGCACTATAAAAAACAACGCTACCTAGCGACATCAAATTTTGAGTAACGTAGTCCTCTCCTCTACTATGAGCATATGGAAGCCCAAATTTGGAATTTGGAATTTGCTTTATTTCATATTTTGTAAATCTCTAACGAATTTCTTATTAACAAACTCAACTATTTCAAAGCAACAACTGGCAACACTTTGCTGGGGGGGGACTTTTTGTCTCCAGCGCGCGAGACTGTGTATCGGAAATTCTAAAGATATGCTCTTTTTAAATTATTTTGTGATATTGCTGTTGAATTTAATTTTATGGTTTAAGTGCAACGAACATGATATTTAATAAATAAAGATAACACATAAATTGCTTAAAAAAAGATCCTTTTAGGAGTAATATAAAATCCGAAAGCTTCCAGATTTTTTTAAATCTTAATATATATATTTTTTTTAATCTTTTATATAATTAGTTACATTTGAATTTTGTCAAAAAAAAATTCTTTTTGAATCAAGTAAGAATTACATAATCGCTGATGCAAATTATAGAGAAATATATACCGAATTTTACTATTTTCTGTCATACAAAAGACCAATCGTTAAAGCGCAATATACTTGCATAATGATACTTGCACATAAATATACGAATGTGAACGCATCCAAAAGCATAGGCATCATTATAAAATTTCGACTCGGATTCAAAAGCAAAAATAGATACAACGTTACAGGAAACAAATAATTTGTTAGTATGACATCAGTATCAAATTTCAATAATATAACTCTTTAGTGCCTTCAAGGCAGATTCCCAAAACATAAGATTTTCTAAAAAAAAAAAAAAAAAAGTCAGGAAGTTCTAATGAAAGCATCCGGTGAAATTTAAGGTCAAAGCGGAAAATCATACATATCTAAGTAACTGTAACAAAGTTCCACGGTTGCGGATTACTCAGCTTGTAAAGGCATGTACCCACAGACGGGATGATGTAGATGCAGCCAAAAGCCAATCGTTAAAGCGTAATGTTTCGATTCCAATTCCAGTTTGAAGATTTCACATGAGAAAAGAACTTACATTTTTACCCGCATAGTATCCCGGATTCAGGAATCTGCCGTAAAGGCACCGAAACATTCAATAAACTGAAAATTCGGTTCTTACCTGATATGAAGGTCATCCATATTTGTGTACCAAAATGTGTAGCGAAAGAGGCCAGGTATAGGAAAGTGTATGACCGAGAAGTGGATGGAGACCTATCTCCAGCTGTTACCATAAGAAAGGCCGCGTACAAAACAGCTGCTGTTGTGGCGAGATGCGTACACCTCGATAACCTCAGGAACAACCTAAAATGAATATTCTGTATTATAGATGAGGATGAATAAAATTTATTATACAAAAAAGAATTTCATTAACATATGTAAGATTTATTATGTATTATATGAAAGATGTAAATTTCTTATTTCATTTTTGGTTTTCTGCATACGGTTTATTCCAAATTCAATATGAAATGAATTTTAAAGGTGCTATTTACTTTAATTTATTTTGCACTATACAGCGCGTATCAGTACAGCGCTGACAAACTTTCAGGAGAGATAGAATACACATAGACGATGTGAAATCACATAGTAATGCATCGTCGGAAACGCATTCCGGGAGCGTTAGTGATGACACAAAATGCAAAAAAGGAAGGACACAAAAAGTGAGACAAAACATGTTTTGTTATACTAATTCAGAAGTCAAACAACAAAAATCAGCGTTATATTTTCAAAATTTTCACAGGACTAGTTTCGATGGTTTTACCGAACCACCATCCTCAGCTGCAAAACCGCAAATGAACAAGATAGGAAATAATGATTAGCTAATATAAGAAAGCCTGGACAAGAATAAGCAAGTGGCGCCATCTGTTGGTGAAACCAGAACTAAAACATAATTTCTTTAAAGGCCGAGGGCAAAGATGGATTGGAATTAGGATCGTTAACTAGAACAGAAAGATTTTTTTGAATGTGAAATACCTCTAGAAAATCCAGTTCTCCAATGGAAGATGTTTTTTTGAAGAATTTTGGAAGCAGAAAAATTTAAAGTGTGATTTTGGGACCAACAATGTTGAGCAACAAAAGACCTCTGTGTTTCCTTTTTTCTAACATATGCCTCATGTTCCTTGACACGAAATTTTAAGGCTCTCTTAGTTTGGTCAGTGTAAATTAAACCACACTGGCAAGGAATCCTATAAATACCCCCAGGAATTCATATTCTGAATAGGGTCCTTGAGTATGGAACTCGGAATTTTATTTGATGGGAGAATAATTATTGTGTCTTAATGTTTCCATTCAGGCAAGGCATGTAGCCAAATTAAAGTCAGTAATTTCGAGTTTCATATTTTATATCTTACACATATACGTAAGATATAAAAACATGAAGAAATCATGAACAAATTACTGATTAAATTGGAACTAACTTAATTGGCAATAGCTCTTGAATTCCTAATTTAAAAAAAATAGAGGCCCTCCAAAGCATCTGCACTGACGTCACACTTTTGCTGCCAGTTACCGCCATAAACTCTTGCCCAATCGCTATGCAGGATTAAAACAAAAGAGCCAAGCTTATAAATACTGCAGCCACAATATGCGCACGCCTTTTTATGCTATTCCACGCTTAATTAAGCTACGCCTCTTCGCTTACTTGTATTCTGCATTATTTGAAATGAAGGTGTTATTTGCTTTTTACACTGTTCATTCAAGTGCTGAAAACTTTGAGATCGTCAACACTTATCACGTACATTTGCAATTTTTAAGACTTTCTAAAATAACTCAAATAATATTTATTTTTGGTTGAAATTTCGATAGTTATGAATCAATTTTCTGTTTCCGTTTCGATTTATTTGAATGATAAACGAACAGCAAAATTTTAAAAAGCAAATTACTAAAAGGTAACTACGTAAGGATAAATTGTTATCTTTCTTATGCGATCGATACATATATAATTGACGAATTCACTCTACGTAACGACAAAACGTTATCCAAATTGGCTTATCTGATAAATTAGCATAATAAATGGTGAAATTAAAATTTTAAAACGTCACCAAAGAGCAGATAATTACAGGGAAAATTTAAATTGTTCTGTGAACTTGTGAACCAAAACACCAGAGATTTATTTTCAAAAGTAACAGGGTTTCCTTTTAAGAAATATTATACAGCAAGTCGAAGAAAGAAGAAAAAGAAAGGGGGAAAAAGGGGGCATTCAAAAAAATCTAAGTAAAAAAAAAAGGCAAAAAACATAATCCATATTTGCTTATTCACTACCTTAACATATTAAATGCTGAAATAAAAATTTTTAAATTTCCAAAGAACTGATAATCACAAGAAAACTTTTAAATTGTTCTATGAAGTTGTCAACCAAAATACCAGCAATTTTTTTTTTTTTTTTTTTTTTAAGTACCAACATCATTTTTTATGAATTATTCTGCAGCAGCTCGAAAAAATTTTTTAAAAAGGGAAAAGAAATAAAGGAAAAAAAAAGGAAAGAGGGGGAAAAAATGAGAGAAAAAAAGAGGGGCATTCGTAAAAATTTAAGCAACAAAAGGCGAAAAACCACACGGCAGTTTTTTCCCCTCCTTAAGAGCCCGTCCCTTTCCAAGGTAAACATTCGAAATAGAATGACTTTCTGAAGAGTGATGTGAGGAGAGTAAAGTTCGTCACGGTTTGGTAGACATGAGCACGATACTCCCTGCTTGACATAAATTGGGTCGGCTGATGCAACAGAACGAGCTCTTGCATTCCTCGTGTACTAAATTCCTGCATACCGCTTAGCAGTTTGTTTTGCTTAAATATTTAAGATTTCCTACATATTTTCATTTCCTACTGTTCTAAAGTTATAATGTAAACATTACCGCACTTATTTCAATAATAATAATTATAATTAATTAATTTCAATTATAATAAAAAGTATAATTACATGCCAATGTCTTTTTAGTTGAAATTATCTACATTCGACTTTATAGTTAACTAGCAGCTTCGCTGCCAGTCTTCATCTGGCTTTTAAATGTACCGGAAAAATGGGCTGAAGGGAACACCAAACGTTAAATTAAAACTGCGTAAATTTACTGTGCAGAACAACCATAAAAAAAAAATTACGTATAACAAATTACAATGAAATACGTATCCCTCAAATACAAATATAATTTCCTATAACAAATTCAAATTTCCTTTGCAAAATCTTAACACAATGGTATAAGGAGGTTAAAATTTGTTCCTAAAAATCCCTCAAACTTTCCAATATCTAAACAAAATGAACATGAGCACTAAAATAAAGAATACAAAAATTCTGAAAGAAAGTAAATTAATGATATTTTTTAATTTTCAAGAGGAAAAAATTACAAATGAATAGCCTTACCCCAAAATATTAATTATCCTAATAAAAAATTAACCAACCTTTCCGTTGAAGAAAAAAGATCATGCAAAACTTTCTCAATTTTACAAACAGTGAAATAAGCAAAAAATAACATTGAAAGCAACTCAAAAAACATAAAATTCCGCGCAGAATTTACTCTGCAGAACAACTTTATCAAAAAAAAAAAAAATCAATAAAAATGTATTATATATATATATATATATATAAAAAAATGACAATGAAATATGCCAATTTCTTAAAAACAGTGACATAAGAAATACGATGAAAAATTGTTGCCAAACCCATATTTCTAAAAGAAATGAAACTATTCAAAATGATGCGATTTCATCAAAAATCTATCAAACAACAATAAGAAAGGAAAATTGTTGACAAAATCACATTTTTAAAGATGCAGAGATGTGAGAAGTGTACTCGGAAGCTTCATTTAAAATTTTTTTTCAAAAATACAAAATATTATCATTTTTCCCAAAATTCTTTTTGTAAAAGCAGTCGCAAGGATGAAAGTTTAACGTGTCCAAAAATCAAAGAAAAAATAAACTGTACATTTTTAAAATAAAACTTTTTTAGAAAAAAATCCCGTTGAAAATGTGTTAAGCTCCATTTGTTAAATAAATTCGTATTTAATCGATTTATTGAAACAAGAAATTTATTTTAAGTTCGTAAAATATCTAAGTGCTTACGTTTCATGACGATTTGAAAATGGATTGTGTAGAGTAAAATCTCGCTTTTCTATATCCCATTATGTCTCAAAATGACGCGATTTCGTCACAAAACATAAATAAAAAAAAAAAAAAATCGAATTCGAATTTCGAAAAAAATCGCTTCAAGATGCACTGGCTCTTGTCTAGATACAACTATGTAGCAAATTTTGTAGCCGTGTGTCTATTAGCTTACGCGCAGCGCGAACGAAAGAAACACACAACACACAGACAGACTCTTTCTTTTATTATATGTAGAGATAACTTCCATTATTATATGCATATTAAAAAAAAAAACAAATTCCTCGCACAACATAAAATAGTAAGTTAAAAGATATTTGGCATGGATTTTAGCATTGCTTTGAAGATCTGTCTTTTGTTTTACAAAATCATTTAAAGAAAAATAATTGTTTTAAATTGGAAAGGGGGAAAAATAGTTACAATTATATAGGTTTTAAATATAACGATAACTGTTTTTGATTTAAATATAATGATAACCATTTTGCTAACTATATAAAACGATTATAGACAGATATTTACATACATAGATATTTATATTATATTACATGCAGATATTTACTTTATTTCTGCATATACTTGTTTTCTTCGTTTTTCACAAATCATTAAAGTTTGTTATCTTTTTCCTTTGTGGTTATGATTAAAGTCTCACAGTAGGCCATTATAAAACATTAAATAAAAATTTACGGAACTAATACTTGTCATTAATAAACCAGTACCTAAAGATTCCACATCAGCATTTGATCAGATAAAGTTATTATTTGAATTTTTTTCTTTTTTTTTAATGCATATTTGCGTACATCTATTCCCACATTTTTGTAAATAACTATTTTATGTAAATATGCAATTAGATAACTTACGAAATATGAATGTAAGTAGATTTTAAAAAAAAAACTGAAGGAGTAGGATTCAATTTTCATCTTCAAATTTAATGGAAAAAATTGTCAAACAGCAAAAAGGAAATAATAAAAAAAAATAAATCTGAAAGCTTTCAGATTTTATATTATGCCTAAAGGAGTGCTTTTAACGTTTTATGTGTTACCTTATTAAATATGATGTTCTTCACACATAAACCATAAAATTCAATTCAACGGCAGTATCACAAAACGTTTAAAACATCATATCTTTAGATTTTAGAATGCACAGTCTCGCCAGCTGGATATATACCCCCCTAGAGTGTTGTCATTGCTCGCTTTGAAATCGTTGAGTTTGTTATCAAAAATTCGTTCAAGTTTTACAAAATATGAAATAGATAATAAAAAAATTCCAAATTTGGGCCTCCAGATGCCCATATTCGGTTAGAGGACTACGTTATTCAAAATTGGATGTTTTCTAGGTACCGTTGCTTTTTCACAGTGCGAGAAACATGCATACATTATGCAAATTATTCTTTATTTAAGTTTCTTAAACATTGTTGCTACCAAACATTACAGGGCTGTAATGTTTGGTGGCAACAATTTGAAAAATGAACCGACATTTATAGCGGACGCAAAATGCGAACATGAATTGAATAGCCCTAAAATACCCCTTTGCGCTAAAAAAATCTGGGATTCAGTTTTGACCTTCAGATTCATTGGAAAAAAATTATCAAATATCAAGCAAAAGAAAAGTTAAAACTAAAGAAAGGGAAAAAATTAATATTTTATATTATGTTTCGATATATGTTGAATCAAATATCATTAAGAAACTCTTTTACTTGCAAAAAAAATACGCTATCGATTTTTATGTTACATAATAAAAAATAAAAAAATAAAAAATAATTTAAAAAAATCGACCTTTCAGATTTAAAACTTAGTCAAAGGGGGCAGTTTTTTTACGCTTTGTTTGTTACCTTTACTATAAATGGCATGTTTTTGCACTTAAAACTAAATTGAGTTCAATAGCAATGTCGCAAAAATATTGTAAATGAGATATCCTTAGAATTTCATATACGCAATTAGACGCGCTGGAGATCCAAGGTTTTTTCCGTAGATTGTTGCCATTGCCTATTTTAAATCGTTGAATTGTTAATCAAAATTTTCCAAAATAATAAACCGATAAGAAAACAATTCCAAATTCCAATTAGGATTTCAGAGACCATGTTCGCACTAGGATGAGTCCATTCAAAATGGAGGCTCTAGAACCGTTTGTTTATACCCATGAGGAAAGTAAATACATTATGCAGATTCTTCATATTTAATTTCTCAAATATAATGCAGGATCTACATTTGTGGCAACAGTTGGAAAAGTGAACCGACATTTATAGGAGTCCGACGCAAAATGCTAAAACGAAATTAATAGTCTTTCGGGACTCAAATCCCTTTGGACTAATAAATTAGTAACACTTTTTTTTAAGTTTAAATTTAAATATGATAATCATTTTTTAAAAAATGTAAAACAAAAAAACTTACGATATATGAATACGATGTGGCATCACGTTAAAAGATACTGGTATCCTCATGGTAAAAGTTCTGGGAATACATACAGCAGACATAAGTGAACTATAAAGATTAAAGGATGCGCTTTTACTCTTCAAACGGATTAGAGCAAGTTTTATATAGGCGCGCAATAACTTTGTGTCGTTTGCATCATGCGCCTACGTCACAGATCCCACCACTGGCGGGAAAAGTCACGTGAACTGGAGAAGGTCATACGCTATTGGATAACAAAGAACGGCGGTTCAGCGACTCGTTCTTTCCGTTCGAATAATTCATCAATCATTCTCTCAGGTACACCCATTTTTTCGCTCTGCAGCTAAATTGTTCTTCTTTTGTTCTAAAAGTATTCCCGTAAAGTCTACAAAGCGTTTTAAGAGTGTTTCCGGTTTCTGTTTCTTCTGGTGATACGTTTCGCGGAAACAAAACACTGTAAATGACAGTTTCGAATAGCAGCAAATGCAGTTTCGAGTTCATAGTATCGAGATGTCGGCAGAAGTGTATGAAAAGTAAATTATTGATAATTCGTTTTTTTTGGCGGCTGTTACATGAATTACTTTAAATAATAATAACATAAAAACTTAATTTCTAGCTTTTAATGTCCCTTTTTTAATTAATTATGATACTTAGCGATATTAATTTCAGGAATTAAACAAAAGAAAAGAAAATTAATTATATGATTTCTTTTTACTTTTTGTACCTAATATGAACAATTTGCTTTCAGTTCCACAGAATATTAATTTATAATATGTTAATATCTGGAATATTTAATTATCAAGATGGCAACGGAAGAAATTTCTTCCCGCCTTTTCTGAATCAGTTTCATGCCTCCACTACTTAAAATTTTATAATTACTCCCCCCCCCAATAATTTTTACCCCAAAGGAGCGTTAGCTCAGAAGGGTTATTAATTTCGTTTCGGCGTTTTGCGTTAATTCACTATAAATGTCGGTTCACGTTTCAAATTGTTGCCACCAAATATTAGAACCCTGTATTATATTTAAAGAAATTAAATAAGAAAGAATCGCATAATGTTGTATGTTCTCGCATGTGGTAAAACAACGTACCTAAGCCAGACAATTTGAACGTACGCTCCCCCCCCCGAATAGGCATTGAAGCCCTAATTGGATTGGAATTCGTTTTATATCTATTTCAATTTTGTAACACTTTAATAATTTTTGATTAACAACTCAACATTTCAAAGCCAGCTATGGCAACACTGTAGGGGGAAAATATATATAAGTGATGTACCAGCTTTTGTCCAGAATAATAGATTCTTGAAGAAATATAGATGCAGTCGAGCTTATTATCAGAGATAAGTTAAAAAAACAGATCGATTTTATTTTAGGAGATAGCGTTACAAAATTAAGCCTCCGGAGTAATAAAAAAGATTACTATACTTTGTATAAGTTTATTGCATCGTGCCATTTAAGAAAATCCTCGATTCTTTTGCGAGTCCTCTTATAGCCTCTGGAAAGGCGGAGCTTCCAAGAAAATACGTCAGCCTCGTCAGCCAATCCCATTCCGCTTTAAATATTCCCAGAACCTTCTATCGTTGTAGAAAACGGAAAAAAACCAACTAGAGGCGTGATTTAATTCAAAGAAATACATAGAATTTTAACACCGTCTCCATTACTGGTAGAATGTTGTGTAATTTGACTATGGAATTTTATTAACATATTATTACATTATTTACCTCCAGGGCGCGAGACTGTGTATCGTAAATTCTAAAGATATAATGCTCTTTTAAATTATTTTGCAGTTGATATTGCAGTTGAAGTGAATTTTATGGTTTAAGTGTGAAGAACATGATATTTAATAAGTAAAGGTAACACACAAAACGCTAAAAAAACTCCCCTTTGGGCGTAATATAAAATCTGAATGCCTTCAGATTCTTTTTTCTAATTTTGCTCTTAAATGCTTAAATATTTAAAAGAATTTGACAAGCGCCATTTGCAAAGCTTTCCATAGCAAGTGAAGCTCGTTCCCTAGTAAGAGAAGCTCATTAAGTAGTCTGAACTGGGGGAAAATGAATTCCTTTGGCCGCGCCTCCGCAGGTACGAGATTCTATGACAAGGTCAACAATGTCCGTTACGGATTTCAATTCGCTAGACTGCCTTCAGAAGGCATTAGAATTTCAGATATCCGAATAAAAAAAAATGTGCTTTAAAAAATTCACTATACTCATTTAAACAGTTATTTAATTCCTACTATAGCTCACACTCTTCCTATATCTTGTTCAAATTTTCAGTCGTTAATAAAATACTTTTTATTCATCCACTCAAGTTCAAATACTTTTTTTTTAAAACTTGTAGTGGATGGCACTGGATGTTAATACAGTTTTTTTCACATATTAAAGTGAATTCCTACTTATTTATTCCTGTTTATGGGAATTAAAGTTATGCTGTTTTTACTTCCTTGTACGAAGTAAAAAGGAAGTCCTGTAACAGCGGAAAGTTTCAGACAACATATTTCAACGAAAATATCCATTTTGACCGCTATCGAATGCAATTTAACGATGTTTTTCCGTGATATCTGTACGTAAGGACAGAATAAAAGACTCTTTTCCTCCAAAAAATTATAAAACTGCTTTAAAATGAATTCTGAAGAGAATTTTTCGTTGCGTCTGTACGAACGTATGTATGTACGTATCTCGCATAACTCAAAAACGAGTAGCCTCAGAACGTTGAAATTTTGTATATAGGACTGCTATAACATGTAGATGTGCACCTCGTATTTTGGTTGCAATCGGCCGCACCAAACGTATATAATATATTTATATATATATCCACTCTGTACCTGGTTCAGTGATCTCAGTTTCTTTACTCATATGTTTGTAAATTGTACATTTTTTGCTTTAAAAATGATTGAATTATGTTGTTTTTATCTTCCGGTTAAGGTTTTTATGCCTTTAGTAAATCTGTATGCAATACTTTTTAGAATTATCAACAATTTTAAAGTTGTTTAAGTGCCGCTAAGCCTTTTTTTTTTTTTTTTTTTTTTGACAGCGGCCAATGATTGTTTACATTTGAAATAGCAGACTAGTGGATTTGTTGCCAATCTAGAGAAACTTAGCTCGCAACAACAAAGATAAGGCCTTCATTTATTATTGCCAATTAAATCATGTTTAATCCTTTCTGGAATTTTTTCGACTAAATAAGTGTTTAAGATTTACTTCGTAATTTTTTATGTAGATATTTTGAGTTTTTATGTATTTTTGCCTTGTCGCGAAGTGAGAACTGAATTAATTGAATGAGAAATACTCAATCGTCTGTGAAAAACTGTTTCTTTTTTAACGTTTATTACGAATTCTCATGTTCTGTAAAAATTAATTTTATAACAACTTACAAGTAATAGTACACGACTGCGATGAACGGGATTGTAATATTTAACAAAAATAAGTGGCAACAGTACGACAGAGTTCTAAAGATTTTTTAGTGTATGGAATTAAAAGAATTGTAGTTTTAGAGAGTTAGATCGGGTGTAATGTCCCATTATGTAGCGAACATTCTTCCTATATTTCTATGTTAATGTGATAATAATATATGTTTAAAATGAAACCTTTTAAAATGTCCCTTCTTCACAAACGGAGAATGCGAAAAGGCAGTGAAAAGAAACTACAACACAACACAGACGACAATTAGAGAAAGAAAAATATAAGCAAAAAGAAAAGTTTCCTACGAAAACTCTTCTCAGCAGGTCAAGAATATATCACCTTGAGTCGTGTGAAATCATTAGATGGAATATTAGTTGAAGAACTGACTGGAAAATTCACTGGATTGCTCGAAACTCACTGGAAAGGTTTCTTACAGTAATGAAGCATTACCAAGAGATGGATAGAATGAGAAATTATAGATCACCCTCAGTTTCATAAATTAGAAACGAAAAAATGTTAATAAAAAGTAACTGAAATAAAATTTTTCTTTATTGACCTAAGTAAAAATTGACTTCAAGAAAAAAAAAATTATATTACAGTAAGACCCCGCTTAACGCGGGGGATACGTTCCATCGAAGTAGAGCATAATGCGAAACAGCGCTAAGCGAGGCTATCTTAACATGTAAATAATGGGGTTAGAGGAGACGGATAAAAAATGGTTAGGCATTAAATTTAATAATGATTTTTTAATATAAAATAAAATCAGACATTATTTTTACAAAAAGAAAAACAATATAAACCATATACTTTTTTAAAAACAAATAAAATTCTCAGTCAGATCATCAGTCTATTCTGGGTTTCCAATTTTCTGCCTTTTTGTAGAGAAGGCATTATGATAGATTGGCTTAATGGCATATTGCGTTCAATTCGTCGTCAATCCATATAGACAGTCGTTTTCCATTTCCTCTATAATGTTTCTTCTAGAACGGGTTAATTCTGGTTGCAGAGCTCGACGTAGTTGCCAAATCAATGCAGCGCTAATTTGAGATTGACGTTCACCAGAATCTAATCTTCTAATCACTTGCATTTGAGTTTCCAGTGAAATGCTTTTTCTGGTTGCTTTCTTTTCTTGTGTTTTACTCGTATTTCACCCATGATAAAAACTAAAGATCATCTACTATTTGTCACTGTATTATTAATCGTTATAGTATTATATATCAAATTACAATAATGTCAACAAATGTGTTTTCAAAATGATAAAAAGCAAGAAAACACAACTACACTGTTTCGGATATGTTATTTGGAAACCTAGCGCTGCGCACAATTTCGGAGAATCCCCGGGTTGAAATAAAAGAGCGCTAAACCGAAACAGCGCTAAACGAAACAGCGTTAAGCGGGGTCTTACTGTACTTGTTTCTACATTTACAAATATATGTTATGGCAGTTAAAAAACTGTATAAGGAATTTTTTGCATATATCTCGACATGTTCCATTTACTTTACTGAACATCATTCCAGTCGAATAATTGTAAATCCTTGCTGAATTTTCTCAGTTAATACAGATAGGAAAAGTTGCCTATATTTCTGATAAAATAGCCTGAGATCTAAATAAAGTTTTAGATGAGACTTTTTTTTTATTTTATTTATTACTTTGTAGAGTCACTAGGTTTTTTTTTGGGGGGGGTTGTTATTGAAGCAGAAGATCATGCAAAATAAGCAA